GGCTTTTTGTGGTGTTGTTGGAGGGTTAGTGGGGGGGGGGGGGGTGTATTAGTGAGCCAGGCTGCAGAGAGTCTGCACTGAGTATTTCCAGATGTGGAATCACATCCAGACGTTAGGAAATTTCCATATTTGGAAGAGATGGAGTCTTGCGTTTTTTACATTTTTCTGCCTCTGTTATCCAACCACAAAACATTCTTGACAGTTTTAGATGCTGTTAAATATAGACTCGCCCTGTGTTCCAGGAGCAGGAAATTCAATGGAATGCCTCATTATTCACGCAATGTGTCTACCATGATAGGCTCAAAAATAGACTTTTAACCATCCAATTGGCCTTCTGGGCTGTTCAGATCTGAAAAAGGCATAAGGATCCAGACTGCCAAAAAAAACCCCTTCTTTCTTAGCCTGAATTCACATACCTCAGATATCTTGCTCCCATCAGATTGCTTGCAAATTTGGGTTTCATCACCGTTTCAGCATAGTATTCAGCATAGCATAGATTTGTTTGCCTAGCCAGCTACATATTAACCAGAACCTCCACCCAGAATCCACCCGGATAGAATTCAGTGCCTTTTTTTTTGTAACCTGTTGCAGGGGAAGAATAGCAGCGCAGTGCTTACTGCCCACATCATGTCAAGCTGGGGTGTAAGCGACACTCACATCAGCATCTGCTGTCCTTCAGGAACCTGGCAATTGGATAAGAGGTAAGTCATTCTTCCTTGTGTATGCCACCTTGCCTTGCCTACTGTACCTAAGCAGCCTCTTCAGACTTAGCCATCTCTTGCTTGACGACTACATTGGCAGCCTTCCTTTTCCTTGAGAACTTGGTTTTAAGCTTGTATACTAAGCAGGCAGCCTCATACCCCTGCCCATTTTATTGCAATCACTGCCCACTCTACTACAGTCTTTCACCATGCCCACCCTGCTATAATATATCACCCCTGCCCACTTGTGTGCCATATGGGGGCAGGGGTAAAAAAAATGTGTGAGTCCCTCATACCCCTGCCCATTTTACTGCAACCCCTATCCACTCTACTACAGTCTTCCAACATGCCCACCCTGCTACTATATATTACCCCAACCCACTTGTGTACCATATGCCCACTCTACAACAGCTTCTGCTACCTTCAACAATCCCCTACCTGCGCTACCACTGCGTCCTACTTTTCACCCTCCTATCCCTACCCCCTTTACTACAATATACTATATTATCTCTGCCCATCCAATTGCAGTCGTCTCTCCCTGCTTTGCTTTTTCTCCTTTTTCTCCCTTGCCTTGCCTACTCTGCTATATAGCTCCTTTATGCTGCAGTCTCCTGTATGTAGTCCTTTTCATCCTACTGTTCGAACCCCCCCCCCCCATTGTCCCTAGCCCCAGCTGAACTGCACATGAACCCTGCAATCTTCGCCTATTGTCTGCGGGAACCATCCATTATAACCAAACACTCTCCCTGACAGGTAAGCTTCACACTGAGGATCTCTGTGCAGAATCTGCTCCAGGCAATGTGTAGCTTCTGGAATGGAGAGAGAACTTGACCTTTGTTGTAGAGTGAGGAATTCAGCCTAATATCAGACACCTAGGTGTGAAAGAATGTGAAAGTCACCTGGGTGCTGCACTGTGACCCGCAGTGCTCCAGGTAAGTGAACATGTACCAGGTGGGGGTCACATTTGCAGCTACTCTCTAGCTTATGTGTGACCACCAGTTTTTTTTTATGTGTTTATACTCAAGGGATGTTTGGAGCGAGCGTGGGCTTAGCGGATGTTAATTACATTACACTGTGTGTTCTTGTGAACTGTATTCCCCAGTTGGGGGCTGATGTTAAAAAGGGATTCCTCTCCCCCCCACTTTCCTTTATGGTATTTTATTGGAGGGGGGGAACTTCCTTGTCAGAGGCAGAAAATTTAACCTCTTGTGTAACCGTCAGCAGTGTCACGTATGCTAAGTTGCGTATGTTGATTTAAACGCTATATCTAATTACTCATGACCTCTTTGGCAGTGTCACGGACATTACTTTCTGAGTTGCTTTTCTTTCAGGAGAAA